ACCCCGGAAAGAATGAAGAGTCTGATCTAAAAGACGGAGCCCACGCAGACACGGAGAGCGACATGAATAGAGTAGACAGCTATTATGGGTAATTAACGTTCTCCACTTTCTAAGAAAGGAATTCTTTCTTTCTCCCTTATTCTTAAATAACTTTCCTCTCTGCCATCTTTTTTGTTCCGCCAGAGGTGACACGATCCTTTCCCCTGCCTCTAAGTACTGCACCAGTAATGTCTGGTATTGATCCACCAATGGCACTCAACTGAATGACGGTTCGTTGTGTCCAGACCCTGTGGTGAGCACTGGGAATAGAGATGAGAGACTCGTGCCCTCAGCGTGCTTACAGTTCCCAGCATGGGAAGATCATTCATTCATTCATGTGTTCAAATTAGAAAACATTTACTCACCACCTTCTGCGTTGATGAAAACAAAAATCCTAACTCAGTGTGCTAAGTGTTCTAACCAGGTACGTGTAAGACCCTTGAAGGTGGCTGGGTGTGTAGCTCAGTGATAAAGAAAGTGCTGAGCATGGGTTTGATCCCCAGAGCACAAAAGCGAAAAGCAAAGCCACCCTAGGGAAACATCAGGGATGGGATAGACCCTAACTTCTAGTCAATGCCTACTCAGTTATTAGTGGTGGTATGTGACTCTTTGTACTGTAGCCTCATTTAATGTTAATAGTAACTCTATGAGATAAATGTTGCAATTACTGTGCAGATGAGGAAATGTGAGGTTCAGAAAGACCACTTGCCTTGTCCAGAGTTACACAGGTTGTATAGAAGCGGCAGAGTTGGCGATCACATCCGCGTTATCCATGCAAAGGATTTGTTGCGTTACACAGCGTGAGGTGGCCCTCCATCTTCCTCTCTGAGCTTGCTCGTACAAGAAATGTCCCGGTATTTTTTTCCTTCACTTTAGCGTTTTATTACTATTATTATTTTGTGGTGCTGGGGATCAAACCCAAGGCCTTACGCATGACAGGTAAGCGCTCTCCTCAGTCCTCCCACTATTTTAATGTTTTTAAAAATAAAGCAAGTCTGACACGAGGCCCCTGCCCGGTGGGAATGAAATTCCAGTGAGTTTTGGTGCTGCCCTCCTGCTGTCCCGGCTTGGGCAAAAGACTCTCAGGCAACTCGGGCCGTCAGTCCACACTGGCTCTTGACCCCACGGTCCCTGGAAGTGGTGGCCTAGCTGCCACTTTTGTCAGGGAAACTGGGAACCCATGCCCAGTCTTTTCCGAAGCCCCCGCATCCAGCCTCTAACCGGGCAGGGCCAGCGCAGGCGGCTTCAGGTCGGGAAGCTCAGGTGCTGCAGCCCACCCTTCCTTTCTTTGGGGATGCCTGCCTGCCTCACTGCTTTCCCCTCCTCCTCCCGCCTGGTACTGCTGCCTCATTCCTCTGGAAAGTCTCAGGACATCTGAGACGGTGCCATGCACAAAAGGTGCCTGTGCCGGTTCGGGTCCTCTAAGGAGCAAGACGGGACGAGATGCCTAAGACATGGAGGGCAGACGGGGAAGGAGCTGGAGGCGGCTGGGGGAGCACTTAGGTGGCCAGCCGCCTGCGCAGGAGCCCGAAAGGGAACAGGCTGGGAGATGACGGGTTTCAGGCTGCACTGAAGTGCAGGACACTTCGCCGAGGTCAGCTGTTGGAGCAGCCGCCTGTCAGAGGGGCCTCCCCGTGGAGGAAGGGACGGCTTTCCTGTCTGCTCTGCTCGGTCCTTGGCAGAGAGCGGCCGTGAAAAGCGTGGTCCTCATGCCCAGGCCAAAGCTGGTGGAGCCAGCACAGTTAGGGTTATCTTTTTTCCATTTTTCCCTTCTATTGTCTTTTTTTGTTTCTTTCTGCTTCCTCCTTGTGGCGTCATCTTGAATTAAGCCCCCCCCCCCCACGGGCCACAGTACCTAAAGATATTAATCTTTATTACTTTCCACTGAAAATACCTGCATGTATATAGATGGTGAGCTTATGACTGGTAACAATTACAGTAATAGCAACAGCAAAAGTATGTGCCTTTATTAACCACTTCCCAGTCCAATTATTTAAATACAGGATGACCAAAAATTGCATATTTTTTCGTTTTTATAAAATAACATGAAATAAGGACCGGGGATTTAGCTCAGTGGTTCCGCCGACTGTCTTGCAAGGGCAAGGTCCGGAGTTCAATCCCCGGTACCAAAAAAAAAAAAAAAAAGAAATATAAAAATGACATTTTTATCAAATTTATTCGGTAATTTTTCCGCATATGGAATATCTTAAAGATTCAATACACCACACATCGTAATAATCTGGACAGTAGTAGCTAGTCTTTTTCTGAATTCTTTTTTCATTATTGTCTTTCTTCGGACAACATACTTTACACTGTCATGTTGGCCTTTCCTTTTTTTTTTCTGTGGGTGGCAGAATTTCAATAAAGTATCTACCCACTCAATGTAAAGATAAAGACAGCGATGATGCACATCCTGGCTGGCGTTTTGCTATCCTATATTTTTCAAGAATTTGGTCTGTTAAACACATCTAAATTGTAAATGACTTTTTGAACTCCCTGATTTGAATAAATAACGAACAAGTTCCCTATTGTTTGGTACAGAAGGTACATATTTTATAATATTTTTTCTCTCTTTTTGATTACAGAATAGCTTGTTGGTTGTAAGATGTTAGATGGTTAACTCTGTCAACAGCACCGACAGAATTATTATAATCACTGACCATGATGGGAATTCTTTTAGTTTCAGTTCTTCTTTCGAGTTCCATCATTTCTGTATTATGAATAGGTGACAATACAAAGACTGCTTTTTTTGTCATTCCATTTCCTAACACAGACTTTTCCTCTCTGATATGCTAACAGTTCTCCCATTTCAGGTTTTTCTTTTGCGGATCTTTGGGCACTTCCTTCCTGTTCAGTCTCAGTGGCCCAAATGTGTCCATTTTGAATTGTAAAAGAACATCACTGAGTCCTGGAGAAGTATAAAATTATGTCTAATGTACTTACTATAGGAGTTTTTATAGATTGTAGCACAAAATTATATTATTTTTCACAAATAATATTAACAAAACTAGTAAAAGAAAATAACCAGAATTTATCATTAGATTTCATTAGAAACAACATCAAAGGCAAATATAGCATTCTAAATAAAAAAGTATGCAAAAAGAGTCAGTATAAAACAAGTGGATTGGTTGAAATGACACCTGCCCAAGTGATACTTGGGACAGTCAGGATGTAATGCCCGTGCTGCCCGAGTGATGCTCAGGGAAACTGTGCAGTGGTTAACGTAAAGCTCTTTGTAAATCATTTACATGCATCTGTCATCACCAGCCATCTGAGAGAGCGACTGTGATTAGCCGGTGTAGGACGCAGCCTGCTATGAGACGAACTGTACCCCCTCCTTTCAATTTACAGTTTGAAGTTCTAATCCCCAATACCTCAGAGAATGATTGTATTTGGAGGCGGGCCTTTACAAGATAGTTCAGCTCAGATGAGGTCACTGGGGGAGGCCGTAATCCAAATGACAGCTGCCCTTGTCAGAGGAAGTTTGAACACAGAGGGAAGGTGATGTGAAGGGTTACAGGGAGAAGGTGGCCCTCTGCTATCCAAGGGCAGGGCCTTGGCAGAAACCAAGCCTTGGTCTTGCACTTCTGATCTCCAGAATTGTAGGAAAACAGATCTCTGTCGTGTAAGCCAACTAGTCTCTGGAACTTGGTTAGCTAGCTCCTTCCCATGTCTTGGGGTTGCTTTGCTTGGATTTCAACAAAAATCTACATCATCCCACAAATGTATCTGCTTGTATTTATGTGTCTACCTTCCTCACTGGCCTGAGGGCTGGAGGAGGGCAGGCAGGACAGCGTGTTCACTCTCATTCCCCAGCACCTAGCATGGAGCCTGGTGTGCCGGAGAGGTCAGAATCCGACGAGCCGAAGTGAATTCTGTACATGGACTTTAAACCTTGTCATAAGAGCTGCCAAGATCATCTTCTGTATGGACTGGAGAACAAATTATTTGTGTTTTGATCTATTTTGTTAAATATTGTATTAGAAGTTTATTATTGATTTTAAAATTTATGAAAATTGGTGAGGTTTGCTTATGTTTCTTTACAAAAACTCGGACACTCATTGGGTCATGGTGGCACTGTCAGAAAGAGTACCATATGTGAGAGGACTCCAGCTCCTTTTATAACCCACTATCTTCTGTTTGCCTGATAATTTTTTGGCTAAAAAAGAGGATGAATTCACTATAGTCGACATGCCATATTCTGAACCCGTGGAAGTCAGTGAATAATCCCACTGTTTGGATAAAGTGTGCTGGAATATTTCTCTCTTAGAAGAGCCCCTAAGGAGGAAAGTATCCACAGCCAACTGGGTGTGTGTGTGATATTAAATGTACTTCCTACCTTCTACTGCATTAGAAAAAGAAAACTTAGAAAAAGACTCAAGACTTTAAAATTAAGACCTAGACAAAGAAGAAAGGAAAGAATCTGCATGTGGCTTTATTTTTCTTGTCTACCTTGTAAGCAAGCTTTGGTGACCCTAAAAATAAGGTTAAGTGTAATAGTTAGCTGGACCCGCAGTGTAAGACCCCTGAATCGTCAGCACAGCAGCGACGTTCAGGACATGGACTCTGAACATGGGCTCACACTGCCTCAATCTACCAAACGCCATGATAACACTGGCTGGCTCGTGGTGTTGTGTGTTTCTCCAGAACATCAGTAATTTTAGCCCTTAGGATTGACTTTAATAATGATGATCATGATAATTTTTACTTTTACTTATTTTTATTAGTGAATATTAGTTATAAAGATTAATGGATTTCATCTTGGCAAATTTGTACATGGATATAACACACTTTGACCATTTCTACCTCTGCCCCAATGATGGTGATAAGTTTTAAAAATGCAGGCTGAATCCCACTTTAGGTTTTCTTTCTTTTTTTTTTTTTTTTGTAGTATGTGTGCTTTTTGATTTTGCTTGATACAAATTTATTTTTCTCCAGTCCTGGTTTTTTCTTCTCTGTAGAAAAATCGATGGGACCAAGGAAGAAGAAGATAGCATAGAGCTGAGCGAGGAAGGGCAGCCAGTGCGGACCCCCAGGCCCCGGCCCCCGCTCTGTGACTGCCACTGTTGTGGCTTCCCTAAGCGCTACATCATTGCCATCATGAGTGGGCTGGGCTTCTGCATCTCCTTTGGGATTCGGTGCAATCTTGGCGTTGCAATCGTGGAAATGGTCAACAACAGCACCGTGTATGTAGATGGAAAACCAGAAATTCAGGTCAGTGTCAATCTAGGGCAGTTTTCTCCCCGGAGGTAGTTGTGTCAGTGCTTTGCTACATGAGGCCGCTGCAGTTCATTCATGGTGTGGTGCGAGTGGAAATTGACCACTGTGCTCTGGCCCTGTGCATGATGACGGGGGGAGAAGGGTGAGCTACACAGACTGGGCCCTTGATGACAACTTGGGGTTCAGGGTGCTACACTGGGGGTATAAGGACCCCTGGGAGGGTCTAGCCCAGGCTGTGAGACTGTGAGAGAAGTCCCAGAGCAAATGACGGCTGGACCAGACAGAGGGTGTTTATGGGGTGGGAACAAGAATGTTTGAAAAAACAGGAGCATCATGTATGAAGGGCTGAAAGAGAGAGACAGATGAGAACTCATTTAAGGAACTGTGACACGAACACTTCCCTTTTCTGTACTATGAACCCCTCTGGCAACCTGGCAATAATTATGAATACTTTGTCAGACATGTTTTAAATTCCTAACATAAAAATAAAGAACTACAAAGGAAGCCAAATATTAAAATACAGATATTAAATTATTTAAAAATAAAATTTGTAATATAGCAACCCATGGGCTTTTTTGTTTGTTTGTTTGTTTTTCAAGACAGAGTCTTGCTATGTAATTCAGGTGAGCCCTGAACTCACTATGCCACTATTTGGCTTCAAACTCACAGTGATTCTCCTGCCTCAGCCTCCGAAGTGCTATGATTACAGACATGTGCCGTTGTGCCCAGCAACATATTGGCTTTTTAATTAACACATCAGATGACAAAATCTAGCAATGGATCCAGAAATTGCTGTAGGGCTGAAGATGTAGTTCAGTGGTAGGGTGCTTACAATACTGGGAACAACTACAATATGATTTGAACATATTTATGATTACCATAGTGACAGAGTTATGGGTACTGATAACTCTACTGTAGCTTGTTGTCTACACTCCTGTTTGCAGAAAATGCTAAATTTCAGCTAACAGTTAAGGAAAATAAAGATGTTGACTTTCCCATGCCAGTTCAGATCCACAGGGTTCCATCCATAGATGCTAGGTTGAGAACTCCCAGTAAGGAAATGCAGATGGAGATATGGAGGGAGCACAGGAAATTAGGGGCCGGTGCCAATGTGAGGAGTCACAGATAGGCTTTAGGGAGAACCAGATCTGTGCTCCAGAATGGTCACTGCCCTGCAGGAGGAGGCCAGGTTGAAGGAGGAAAGAGAGCAGATAAGAGCTCAGGGCGGAGGCTGTGGCAGGCATAACCAAGCGTACTCTGCTATGACTTCATAATACTGTCTCGTGAATCACTGGAAGCTTGAAATGTAGTTTATTTCTTAAACCACAGGCCAAAAGAAGTCCTAAGGTTATGCAGGGAAAAAAAGGCAAATGAAAACATGTGCCCAGTGGACATCCAACAAATAAATAGATGAGGTGTGATGGAAAATTAAGGTGAATATTTAAATTCAAAAAACTTATTACTCTAAAAGACACATTGCCATCTATTCCCTTCAGAATACTCTGCCTTGCTTCAGACACGTGGATCCCATCATTCCTGCCACTTTCTGCAGCAGTTCTGGAGTCCTCTTTTGTGTCTTTGTTTGCACCATCGTGGCTGCCTTAATGTCTTGCATTGATTCAAAATGTTGACCTTTGGGGAGCAGACAGACATTGCACTGGGCCAGACGCTGCGACTGAGGAGGGTGAGGACACAGCAGAATGTTTTCACAAGCCTGCTTTTCCATTCGATGACGCTTGGTAGTGACATTCACTATATTTTTTAAAAAATCACACCTCATAAAGACACTCAAGAAAGAGGACTCCAGAACTGCTTCAGAAAAGGCCAAGAACGATGGGCTAAGTGTGTTCAAAGTTAGGGGGAGTAATTAAAGGAGGATTAAGGACAATGCTTCTTTTACTGTAACAAATTTTTATAACTTAGGCATTTGCCATTATTTGGATCACCCCTCCTATATTTTATTGAGTTGAACACGTGCTCTGGAATGGCTCCTGTGAACATTTGCATTTGCTGAGAAGCATTTAATGCTTCTCAGGCCCACACCCGGATTTGGAGACCGGAGTCTCCTATGCTGGTGCCTGGGAGCTCATCAGTTTTCAGGCCACACTTTGAGCCTTGGTGCCTGTGCTGCTCTGTTCCCCCTGGGACTCCCCAGGACGGGGACGCGGGTGCAGGATTTCCTGGCCTGACCAGGCGGCACGGGATGTGGTCTTTTGTGCCACATCTATTAGCATCACCTGGAAAGATCTCCTGCCAAGCACTGGCTTGGGAAAATTTGTGTTGGTCCATTAAAAAGAGGTCTTTATTTGGCCTGAATGCTTTAAAAAACAAAACAAAACTAAGGATTATTCTGCAGTGGAAAAGAGCACCATGGAGATGGTTCTAGCCAGCCTCTTTTTGATGGCACAGCTGAATCTGTCCTAAACAGATAGGCGTCAGTTTTAGGGGGCTGGGATAGAGGTGGAGGAGCATATCATGCATTTGTAAAATAGGGGATGATGTATATTGGCCAGGTTGCAGATGTGTATCACAGGTATTCTTTCAGCCTTTTGTGAGCATGGCCAGCTAATTAAAACTCGTCTGCTGAGGCTGGGATCAAAATGAGATGCTGTTTTTGCATTTGTTTGTTGCCTGAAAAGATAGGGCAGGTCAATAGAGTCTCCTCTGAGGCATATAAAACGACATTTCGATAAAGCCCAGGGACAATGCCAGTATGTTCTCTCCAGTGTCTACAGCTTTGCCCTCTGGAGCCTTAGAGGAACTGATTAAGAGCTGAAGGATGCTTTACCTTGTTCTCTCCGGCCTCAAGAATAGAACAGGAGGTTAGTAGCATTTTGGAGGCTCTAGTACAACTCCAATTTGTGGTAGGCCATTCCTCTCTTGCCCAAATACAACAAAGTTTAGATATCAGCTGAGCACGTCTACAAAGGGCTCTGAATGGCTGACATTTTTGTTTGTTTTGTTTTATGGGAAAACTAGATACTTTAGAATTCTTGTTTTTGATGTGGTACTAGGATTGGATCCAAGACTTTCGTATTGAGCTATACCCCTGCCTCCTTCTTTTCATTTTTATTTTGAGACAGGCTTTTGCTAAGTCACTGAGCTGTCCAGGCTGGGTCTGAACTTTTTGTTTGTTTGTTTTTGGTACCAGGGATCAAACTCAGGACCTTGCACTTACAAGACAGGCGCAGGGCCACTGAGCTAAATCCCCACCCCTGGGCTTGAACTTCTGATCCTGCTGCCTCAGCCTCCCAGAATGCTGGCCCTGTGGTGCCACAACTGTGGTTGTGTGCCAGTGTGCCTGGCTTAGAATCCTCATTTTCCAAAGAGAGAAGTAGGTATGATTAGGTAGGTCTTGCAAATATTAAATGGCATATGTTCTACAAGTGGCATGAAGAGTGATTTTTAGCTAATACATAGATGATTACTTTTTTGTTTAATAATGATAAATTAAAGTTGGCAGTGTCACTCAGTGACAGCATACCTGGGTTCAATCCCAGCACAAACAGCAAAAGAAAAGAAAGAAGGAAGAAAGGAAGGAAGGAAAAAAGGAAGGAAGGAGGGAAGGAAAGAAGGAAGGAAAATTGTGAGTTACAACATACGAAGTAGCTGGGTATGTGGTGCACACCTGTAATCTCAGCTGCTCAGGAGACCAAGGCAGGAGGATCACAAGTTGGAGGCCATCCTGGGCAATTTAGTAAGACTCTGTCTCCAAATAAAAGATGGTGGGGCTGTAGCTCAGTGGTAGAGTGCTAGCCTAGCATATGCAAGGGGCTGGGTTCAATCTCCAGTACAACACACAAACAAAATGAACAAGGAGCACCTAAATAGTGTCTGTCACGGTAAGCAAAAAAAAATGCCCGGATGTATGAGAAACCTTCTGATTCATAACCCTCAGGAAGAAGTCCAGAGTCCTTCTCCTGTGTAATCAGTCTTGTAGGGTGAAGAGGGTGGGCTTTAGAACTGGCCAGACCTGCTTCCAAACGTGCCTGCTGTTTCTTGGCTCTGGGCCCCTGAGCAAGTTGCCCCGTGTGCCAGAGCTGAATTCATGAGGCTTTGCCCTGCCATGGGCTGAGTTACCTGACCCCAGTGCCATGGAACTTGCTTCAGTTCAAGGACCTACTACTCTACTACTGTTGAACTAAGTGTGTGTGTGTGTGTGTGTGTGTGTGTGTGTGTGTAGGGGGAGGGAGGAAGGAAGAGGGGGGAGAGAAAGAGAGAGAAGGAGAGAGAGAGAGAGACAACAGACAGACACCAGACAAAGACACACTCTTCGGGCAGCTTTCAGCCCCAGTGGTCAATAGGAGAGAATCCCATGGAAGGGAAGTGGAGGTGGAATCCTCTCAGAAGCAAGTGTGCTTAGCGAGACAGGAGCTGGATTGTCCAGCAATTCTTTGCTAATCTTTATTGTAAAATAAAAAGACTGCTTTGCAGATCAAATGAGGTGATTTATATTAAGTACCTGTATTTGGTTCCCAAGACTGCAGTAACAAATTCCCACAAATTGGATGTTTTGACACAAGAGAAATGTATTCTTCCATGGTTGTGGAGACTGGAAGTCTGAAGCCAAAGTGTCAGGGGGGCCTCCCTTCCTCTGAAGTCTCTGGTGGAGAGCACTTCCTCATCTCAGTCAGCTTCAGGTGGCTCCCAGAGTTCGAGGTTTGTGACTGTATCGATCCATCTCTGCCTCAGTCTTCCCATGGTCTCCTCCTGTCTGTGTGTCTGCTCTTCTGTCTCAAATCTCCCTGCCCATGTCCAAGGACACTTACTTGTCTCTGGCTGAGAGCCCAGGTGATTAATCCAGGATAGTTCATTGCAAGATCTCTGGCTTTTTCATATCTGTAAAGAACCATTCTCTGAAGAAGGCAGCATTTGTGGTTCCAGGGATTTGATGTGGATGCCATTCCTTGAAGAAAGGAGGTTTTATTTTTTTATGATGATAATCTGTATTTTACCTGGGCAACTTAACAGAGACCCTGTCTCAAAATAAAAAATGTAAGGGTGGGAGATGTAGCTCAGTGAAGGCCCTGGGTTTAGTCCCCAGTACCACCACTGAAAACAAAATAAATAAAATAAAACAAACCAAAACAGAACAGAAAATGTATTAGTTTTCCTGTTGCTGGTGCAAAATAACTGACACTGGTAATTTAAAGGAGGAGAGTTTTATTAAGCCAGAAGCAACACGGTGGGAGGGCCGGGGGAGGAAAGCTGTTTAACCCACAGCAGCCAGAAAGCAGAGAGAGAAAGGAGGGCCGGGAGAGAGGTGTGGTTCTCAAAGGCCCGCCCCCAGTGGTCCATCTCTTCCGGCCCAGACCCCACCTCCAGCAGCGCATTTAGCTATCAGCTCCTCAGTGGATCAGTCCCCGGTGAGCACAGGGCCTTGTGATCCAATCACCTTCCAAATTAATGGGACTGGGGAGACACTCTAGATCTAAACCACAGTAGAAAAGAATGCTTAACATGACAGCTACACTGGTAATGCATTTTAATGTGTATAAGTACAATGTTGTACAGCACATCTCTAGACCTTATTCATTTTGTTTTACTAAAACTTTCTGCCCATGGAATAACCCCATTTCCTCTCCCTCTAGTTTCTGACAACCACCAGCCCACTCTTGGATTCTATGAATGTGATATTTTAGAGACTTCGTGTAAGTGGGCCCATGCATTATTTGTGTTTCTGTGACTGATTTATTTCCCTTAGCATAATGTCCTCCAGGCTCATCTAAGTTGTTGCATATTACAGAATTTCCTTTTTCTTTAAAAGGCTGAAGAGTATTCTGTTAAATGTACTCACCCCATTTGCTTTACCCATTTGTCTGTGGACAGTCAGGTTGTTTCCATATCTTGGTTGTAGTGAATAATGCGTTAGAGAACGTGAAAGTAGGTATCTTCAAGATCCCAATTTCAGTACTTTTGGATAAATACCCAAAGTTTGTTCACTGAATTGTACTTTTAGTTCTATTTTTAGGCTTTCGAGAATCTACCGTACTGTTTTCCATCCTGACAGCACCATCCTACATCCAACCCATAAGGGTTCTGCTTTCTCCACATTTTCACCAATACTTGTGTATTTATTTATTTATTGGATAATGGCCATCCTAACAGGTGTGAGATAATATCTCATTGTGGTTTTGACTTGCATTTCCCTGATGATTAGGGACCTGGGGCATCTTTCCATGTAGCTGTGGACTATTTGCATGCTTCTTTGGAGAAATGTCTAAGTCTCTAGGATTTTAGGGGCTCGGATGACGACGAAAGTCAGTGGTCAGCAGCTCCCAGTGTCCTTCATCAGGTATCATTTCTGTCTGAGAATGCCAGGCACCACCTCCTCAGAGTGGTGATGTGAGTGACCATTAACAGCTGGATGAACCCGGCAGGTTGTGTTTGTTATGATCATTAAGAAAATAGAGATTTGGGCCGGGGAGTAGCTTAGTGGCAGAACCGTTGTCTACCAGGCGGACGATCCTCGGTTTGATCCCCAGGATCACAGGGGGAAGAATTGAGCGATTTAAGATTTGGATTCCTTTTATGCTATCACAAACTGATACCTGACTAATATAGTAAACAACCCAGTAACTCAATTTGTTTGCCTCGCGGATTATTTTATTTTCCTTAGTGCTCGTCACTGTTCAGTGTACCACATTTTATGTATAACTTTGTGCTTATCTCTCCTTTCTCTCCCTAGAAGCTGAGATTCATCAAGCAGGGACCTTGATATCCTTAAGTATGTAAAATGCCTTCAAGAAATACTTGTTGACAGAAGGAAGGAAAAAAGGACCTCATGGGGTCCTTTTTATATGTGGCATCATCAGTGAAGTGTGGTCAGTTGTTTTCTTATGAGCACAACTGTATCTGATTTCTTGTTTGCAGACAGCACAGTTTAACTGGGACCCGGAGACTGTGGGCCTGATCCATGGATCTTTTTTCTGGGGTTATATCGTGACGCAAATCCCAGGTGGTTTCATTTCAAACAAGTTTGCTGCTAACAGGTAAGGTAAATTGATGTATTGTGAGTGCTGCTCAAGTTATAATTCAACCTGGTACCTTTATAAAATCGGCACAGCTGGTCCTCAATTTGGGGGTGCAGAATGAAAAACAGGAGCCATCCAGACAGATGCAATTCAGAGATGTTGATCCCAAATAATCCTGTTCTTCAGAGTCTCTTTTGATTTACTTTTCTTCCTCAGTATAATTTATCTTATGACTCATGAAGTGATTTGGTGGTTTAAAAAAAGAGCAATTAATTGAGTCAGGAGAAATGGTTCCTGACCCCTCTCTGGCTCACTGAGTTACCTCTGTAGAGTCACATGCCCTCCTTCCCTGGGCCTCAGTTTCCTCTTCTGTGAAGTGAGCATTGGACTGAATTGTGTTTTGGTTCCCTTTGACCAGTGACATACTGAGATCTTTCTGTCCTTATGTTAATACCACCTTCAGCCATGAAGGTGCCGCCCCATGTGTAGGACGGGCTTGCGTCCAGACTGCACGCTGTGTCTTTAACACTCTTCAGACTCTCTAGGAGGTGGTTAAGCACTTAAGTGTTCAGGAGCAGAATGGGCTGTTCCCACTGGCAGAGAGTTCTCTGTTGCCAGAGGTATTTAAGCTCAAGAGGACCGCCACTTGGGGGAGATGTGGTAGAGTGTCTCATGTGCCAGTGAAGGCGTGTACTGAATAATTTCAGGTCCTTTCCAATGTATATATTTCTCACATGACTTTACACAAATCTACTTCATGAACTATTTTGCAGTTTGTAAAGCAGTATTTTTCAGACTCTGAAATGCCTATTATTAGATGGTTGAGAAATCAATATAGTGATTTACCAATGAGCTGTTTTTGGAAAAAGAGAAAAATAGAAGAGATTTTAAAAAAAATAGAATAAAACTGAATAGAAAACATCTGAGTGCATCACATGTAAGGGTAGCTATTGGACTTTGAAACTTGATTTGTGTGTATGTGTATAGACTGGGCTGCAATATAAAACATATTTTAAGGGTCAGTGTCAAAAAATCTGAGAGCCACTCCCATAAGATCTAAATATGTATGAATATGCCTATCTTTGCTTATGTTCTTGTCTAATTTCTATTTTTATTTCTTGTTATTTACTTATTCTATCCTTTTAAAATGTAATCAAATGTTGGCTGCCCTGGTCCCCTTGGGCACTACTTACACCTCTGCTTCAAAAAAGAAATCACACATAACCCGATTTCCCAGCGTGTAAATGGGTTGATGTGTCATCAACATGCAGGAGAGAGGTAGGGAATGTTGCTTGTTGGGCCGAGCAGGGCAGGGAAAGGTGAGTGGGGTCAGCAGGGCAGGGAATAGCAGGCTCAGATGAGGACACAATCTGACTTGTTTTGGGGTGACCCCAGGTCATATGATGCTTCTTAGATAATCAGTATCCTCTCGTGGCAAACTGAGAGCAGTATGGGAAGCAGGAAGCAAAACTGGAAAGACACAGAAGTCATAGTAGGAAGGGTCACTTGGGTAGGACCAGGGCCTCCAGCAAGTCCAACCTAGTTGTTCTGCAAACTCCTAGGACACTGTCCTCATGTGCACGCTGCTGTGCTGCCACAGATGTGTCCGTGACTGGAGCTTGGGAATCCAAGCAGCCTAGGAATGTAGCTTGGGTCACACCAGACCCGAGTACACTGTCTTTTGTACTGAACTAATTTCTCTTAATTTTCATAAAGATCTTTTATGACCCATTAGGCTCATTTTTAACGTTTAAGTGACCACCTCATGTGTCATCGACCTGCCCGCTAACACTGTGCTTTGGTGTCCTAGGGTCTTTGGAGCCGCCATTTTCTTAACGTCGACTTTGAACATGTTCATCCCTTCTGCGGCCAGAGTGCATTACGGCTGTGTCATGGGCGTCAGAATTTTGCAAGGTCTGGTGGAGGTAGGAGGTCCACTTTCCTCACAGTTTTCCACATTGCCAGAGACAGCACGGTCTTTTAGAAAATCCTGCTTCTTTTACTCTTTTCCTATCTGCTGGTTTGTCCTGCCATTTCAGCTCTCTAGTGATGGCTACTTTAATTAAATATCCTCATGACTACTTTAATTAAAATGCCTTGTGTGACTACACATTTCAATATAATAAAGGGCCATTTATTCCATAATGATCTTAGATATGATCTAATCCAACTGTCTTTATTTAAATAGAGCATGAAATTGAAGCTCCAAACTTACAAGTTCCCATATCAAGGGCTCTTTCTTTTAGTGAGGGCAATTTAAATGCATTTATTAAGAATATGTACATTTCTAAGCATGTGGTCTGATATGAAGATTTAATTAGATAGAAGAGGAAGCATAATGTAGAACCTGAAGGTAAATATTTTGGGCTTGGCTGCCATACAGTGCAAAAGCAGCCATAGACAATATGTAAACACATAGGCCTGGCTGTGTTCTAATGAAAGCTTTTATATGTTGAAATTTGAATTTCATACAATTTTTATGTGCCCATGCAATAATATCTTATATTGAGGTTTCTTCAGACCACTTAAAAATGTAAAGACCTTGCAGACTGTACGAAAACAGATGGTGCGTCTAACTGGGTCATAGCTTGCCAACTCCTGATGTAGAACAACATTCCCCAAACTCCGACACTCACCTCTAACCTTCAATATTTTGTTATTCCACGTACAACTTGTCTTACTCTTCTCTTACTGTGTTTCCCCTAGATCAACTCCATTAAGACACAAAAATCAAAACCACTCCCATTGTAAGCAATGGTATCTTTGAAATCATGGATTTGATGTGCAAGTTACATATTTGTCTAAAGCATATTATACACGTAAGAATTATAATTAAGGATGTGGATTGTTGTTACATCTGAAGTCCACCTCTAGCCCCACTGGAGGGACATGTACTATGCTTTCAGAAATACTGGTAGGGTGCAAAGTGACGTTAGCAGTGGGCCGGGGATTTAGCTTAGTGGTGCCGCCTGCTGCCCCGCAAGGACAAGGACCTGAGTTCGATCCCCAGTACCAAAAAAAAAAAAAAAAAGCGCCGTTAGCAGCTGTGGAGATGAGTACTGAGATCTAGCACTTTAATGACTCCGAGCCTCAGATTTGGCAGGCGGAAGTAGCTTCCTACACTGATATTCTTTAATATAAACATAAATAAAATATAAATATAAAGATTTCCTTCTGATTCCCCATCACACTTGCATTTGAACTGTATTTGAATTTTAGTATCTGTGCTGTGTATTAACATAGCTGAGGGCCGGGGATTTAGCTCAGTGGTTTCATTGCCTGCTGCGCAAGTGCAAGAACCCAAGTTCGATCCCTGGTACCAAAAAATAAATAAATAAATAACATATCTGAATTGTATCTGTTTTAGTCTGTGTGGGCTTCCTTAAAAGAATACCATAAACAACAGAAATTTATTTCTCACTGTTCTGGAGGCTGGGAGATCCAGGTGCTGGCAGATTAGGGTGTAATGAAGGACAGCAGCATCGTTCCTAAGCAGTCATCTGCTGTGTCCTCACCTGGCAGAAAGGGATGGTGCTCTCTGGGGGCTCTTGTCAGAGGCCCCGATCCCCTTCCAGAGGGCTTTCCTCTCACTCACTGCCCCCTCCCAAGGGCCATCTTCAATACCATCACCCTGGGGACTAGGTTTAAACATGAATTTGGTGGGGCACAGACTTCTAATCGCACCAGTGTATATATACTGGCTTTATATTGTAGCCCGAGTGAAGGAGTTTTAAACACCAAGAGAAACTGGAGTCAAATTTAATAATCGACTTTACATTCTTCTGCCAGGGTGTGACCTACCCAGCCTGCCATGGGATGTGGAGCAAGTGGGCACCACCCTTGGAGAGAAGCCGACTGGCCACCACTTCTTTCTGTGGTAAGTTAAGAATAACTCTTCACGGATAACTCAACTCCTAGTTTTCATTCTAAGGAGCTATCAAACATACCCTCTTCTTTTGGGACCGGTTGGCAGTAACCAGGACAATTCAGCCATTGAATTTGGGTTAGTGCTATAGTTGAAGTAGATCATTCTGCTTTGTTGAAAATCAGATTCTTCACCCAGGAGCCAAAGTCTTTTTCCTTGCAGAGCTCTTCTTGTGAAATCTTCTGTGGGTTCTCATTTCACTGAGAAATTTTCACTGAGAAATTTTTCCATACGGGCATCTACTTTCAACTTGGTGGCTAATAAAGCAGCTTTTATTAGTTTTTTGTTTTATTAATTAAAGAATTTATTCTTGAAGATAGTAACTCTTTCTTCCTCTTTAACCCTCCTTAATATTCCCTAGCATAGTTCAGCTGGCTTTCTTAGCTGTTGTGGAAGGTGGTTTGGTACATGAATAGCTGTTCAAATAGGTCTGTCTGGGAAGACATCTCCAGAAGATCTTACTTAGCCGCCATCTTGGTTTGGTTCTTCACTGGTCTTTCTGATTTTTCTTTTTTTAATGCCTATTTATTTTTCATAATTACATGTTTGCAGTATTTAATGTTGCCATTCGTCTTAAGGAATTGGTATAGGGACTTAAAATATCTTAATTCTTTCTATTCCCCTTCCCCTTTTCTTCTTCTTCTCTCCCTCCATCTTTAGATGTCTGTCTGGTTTTTCAAGCTAACATGCATTTCCTAAGACAAGCTAACTTGTATTTCTTCACTAAGGAGAGAATAAGTCTTTTTATTCCTATGAATTTTTTAATTTATCTCTTTCTCTACTTTAAATATTGACAATAATAAATTCTTACAGTAATTTGGTGTGAAGTACTCACCAGAATCCTGGTTTCGAATTGCATGTGTATCTGAGATATCTTTACCTTCTTTAGCCTCTCTTGAAACCATCTCTGGGCTCTTGTTTGCAATTCATGAGCATTTCTGCCCTGCTACTGAGCTTTACCCGATCCTCGACCTTCATTTCTTTGGATGGTTTGAGTGTGAGGCCTTTCATTTTGATTTGACAGCAAACCTGAGAATGACTACCAGCCACTCCCCGCTCTTTGTGTGTTTTTATAGCCCCAAAAGAGCTGATTTAAAGTGATTTGATTCTCTAGGAAAGTTAACTGATCAAAGTCACAGGCCTTATTGCATTTCCTAGCTAAGGTGTGGCCTTGTTTCAAAAAACATCAGAGGTGAAATATTATTAGAAGGAAACACAAGCTTGGGGCTAATCAGTTCTTAATCTCAGAAGATACTAGTGTGAGAAGGAAACCCTAGAAAATATCTAGTCCCATCTTGTTGTTTTACAGTTGGGGAAATTGAGGCTGGAGAGGAAAATGAGATTTAAATTCTCATGGCTAGTGAGGACAGAGTTGGGCACTCTTTCCCACCCTCCCTCTGCCCTTCTCCCACTCCATGCCACTAGTGGTCACCGAGGGCCTCCCCTGTCCTCCTCAGGGAGCACACAAGGGTCAGAAGTGAGCTCTGTGTCCCAGGACAGCTGTGATAAGTGCTGAGCATCCTTCTCGGGAGTATGCTCAAGGCATATGACACAAGATGAGACTGGATCCCTGTCTGAAAGGATGAGAAAGTGTTCGATAGACAGGAAAGAAGGACAGTTTAGGCCAAGTTGTAATTTTACCAAAGAAATAACGCTTACAGTGGAGAATCATTGGCTATTTTTGTGTGAAGGAGACAGGAATGAATTATTACAGAGTAAGGGTGTTGGAGTCCCACAGACTGGAGTCCCTGTCCAGGAAATCTGTTCCTTATATCTGTGTGACCTCTACCAATTTACTTCCCCTTCCTGAGCCTAGTTTTTGCCTATAAAAATGGGGATAATATTGGTACTAAGTCATCAGGTTGAAAGAGGGTTGAATAAAATCTCGGGTACAGGACACGTAGCCCAGTAATGGGACAGAAAGGACTCAGTGCACTGCAGTTGTTGGTTATTTTTGACCCTCTTGTTACAAATGTGCCTTCTTGTCACTTAAACCAGACCCTCTCCTCTCCCTCGCAGGGCATTTGGCTTCAGACAAAAGACCACCTCCTCCTCACAGAGTCAGACCTGCAGCTCTTTCCTACCCTATGGCCTGGAGCATTTGCTTTACTAGTTTGAGGAATTATGAGGTTAAAAAAGAAGTGCATTGTCATTCTGTACATGATAGAAGCAGTAACAGTTGGCATTTGTGTAACCCTTTATAGCTTACAAAGCTTCTTCATATACATAGTGTAGTTCACCTTAAAATCAACCTCAGGAGATATTTCACTCCAATCTCATCTCTGCATGAGTCTCTTTCCTACAGGGTGAGGCCCAGCTTAGAATGATGCAAGTTAACCCAGTTCTTTGCAAGTTACTCTAATTCTCCCAAACCTTCCTTAGCATTGGATTTTGGGATATGGAATTTCCTTTCATGCTACCATTTTCTGAAACAAGAGTTTTCTCATTCATAGGCCAGGGGAAATTTCAGATAGTAACTTTTCAATTCAGTTCATATTCAGTTTGCAGGGCTGGGGTTTCCCTAGTAGATGTCCTGGAGCTGCCCAAGATAGGGAGGCCAGGCCACGGCCTCCAGCGCCTCTAATCTTGTCTAGACAAGATAAACATCCACACAAGGGCAGGTAGTCACAAGGTTAAGTGTTTGCAAAGTAAGAAAAAAATAAAGGGCAAAATTACAACAATTTTAGTTTAAAGATCTTAATTGATTTTATTTTAGATTCTGGAATCGGCGAAACAGAATCATTGTTCCAAATGGGTTGAGGAGAAGAGGTTGGGTTTTATGGACAGAGAAAGGCTAAACAAAGCAGAAACAAGGAACTAAAAGCAGACTGGTTATTTCAAAGTTGCTTTCCTTGTATGTCATCAGGAACAAGCACATAAAACAGTAGAAAAATAACTGGCTAGCACCAGGTAATTTTTTTTAAAGTAAGGATTAAGTCAGAGGGAACTTGTGCCAGTTGAAACCCACCTGCTTTTTTCATTCATTTTGTTTGCACTCCTGGGTATGGTAGCCAGGGCCTTCACGCTGAGGTGCATCCCCAGCCCTTTTTAATTTAATTTAATTTTTTTTTGTATCAGGGATCGAACTCAGGTCCTTGCTCTTGCACAGCAGGTGGCGAAACCACTGAGCTAAATCCTGGCCCCGGCCCTTTTTTATTTTGAGACATGGTCTAAATCCCTAAGTTGCCCAGGCTGGGCTCAAACTTGATCCTTCTGCCTCAGCCTCCTAAGTTGCTGGGTTACGGGTATGTGTCACCATATCCAGCTTTCTGGGTCTCTTTCTTTTCTCTTTTCCTTTTCCCTTTTGACTTTTATTAGTACACATTTGTGGTACCCAGCAATCACCCTCACTGTAGGGATTGGTATAAGTACAGAGGACATTTCAATTCCTTTCTTCCCCCTTCACCCCATTTTTATTTTTCCAGCGTCAGATTCATTTATTTATCTTATAAGGCCTCATAAATCTAATTATCGTATACACGGATTGAAAACCAGACTAGTAGGCCAAAGAACATATAAAACATGTGAGACAATTAATAATAAATCAGGATACGCTTTCAAATACACAGCCTGTGCTGGATTATGATACCTTTTTTCCCTTTCTCTTTTTTTCTATTATCTATCTTTTATTTTGTACTTTATATATAATGAGTTTTTCATATAAGATAAACTATGTGATATTTAAGCTTGTGTGTCTGAGTTACCTCATTTAACATTATGGTTTCAAGGTGCATCCATTTTCCTACAAATGACTCAAGTCTATCCTTCTTTATGGCAAAGTAGTACTCCATTGTATATAAATACCACATTTAAAAATCCATTCATCAGTTGATGGACATATAGGCTGTTTCAAGATTGCCCTGCTATAAACATGGGTATGCATATGTCACTGTGGTACTATGTCTTTAACTCTTTTGGGAAGATACATAGAAGGGGAATAGCTGGGTCAAATGAAATTTCTACTTTTAGTTTTCTGAGGAATCTCCAAACTGATTTGAGGGATCAGTTTACAGTCCTACCAATAAGGAGGAAGTGTTCCTTTCTCCCCACAGCCTCCCCATCCTTGTTACTGGTTGATTTCTTGATAGCAGCCATTCTTTCTGGAGTGAGACGGAATCTCAGTGTTGTTTTCATTTGCATTTCTTGAATGGCCAGCAATGTTGAACACTTTTTCATATATTTATTTGTCATTTGTATTTCTTCATCTGAGAAGTGTCTATTCATTTTTGATGCCCATTTTTTTGATTGGGTCCTTAATTTTAGGAAGTCGATTTTTTTTTGAGCTCTTTATGTATTCTAGATATTAGTTCTTTTTCTGAAGAGTAGCTGGCAAAATTTTCTTCCCATTCTGTAAGTTGTCTCTTTACTGTTGGTGATTTCCTTTGTTCTGCATCTCCTGGTTTCTTGAAAAGTCAGATAAGCAGCTTAGTTTTTGTTTGGTGGCAAGGAACTTTAGCTTGAGTGACCCCCATGTTGATCTTTAGTCTGTTCTTTTGGGGCTCGGCCCAAGAACCTCATCCAAAACAATGGCCTCTTGTAATTTTATTCAACAGAAATAAACTTAAAAAGACATTCCTGTAGGAAGTGAGTAGAAATGATAGCCCTCCTGCAATCTTGGAGTTTGACTATTTCCTGAGTTTTAAAAAAAATCAAGACTAATAAAAGTGTGATCCTTTTAATAGTTCAGGATCTCTCGTTAAAGACCCGAGACTCCTCCACACTGCGAGATCTGAAAGGCAGGCTGCATATGCTCCTTCAGGGTGCTATTTTCTTTCTTTGTTTTTTTTGGTACTGGGAATCAAACTCAGATCCTTGTCCTTGCGCAGCAAGCGGCGAAACCACTGAGCCAAATCCCTGGCCCTAGGGTGCTATTTTCAGCAGCCAATATTGTGGCTAGTTGCATTTCCAAAATTTCTTTTAGGTTTTTCTCTCCTGATTCTTTCTCTCCCGTAATTCTGGATTGTGGTGCCCAGGAGAAGTTAAAGGGCATGCTAGTGACCTTCTCCCCAGGAAACTCCTTTTTTTTTTTTGTACCGGGGATCGAACTTGGGTCCTTGCGCTTGCGCAGCAGGCGGCGAAACCACTGAGCTAAATCCCCGGCCTAGGAAACCCCATTTTAAGGCACGCTGGGAGTTCGCCTGAAGCTCCCCGGGGTAGGAGTTTGACTCCAGTTGTTTGGTTTGTCTTCAGCTTTACCACGGGACTTCTCAGTGAGGGACAAGGCTCGCCTGGCCGTGGGTCAACTTGCTTCGTGTCTTCTCGTTTCAGGGTCCTACGCGGGGGCCGTGGTTGCCATGCCCCTGGCGGGGGTATTGGTGCAGTACATTGGATGGGCCTCGGTCTTTTACATTTACGGTGAGTGATTTGATTCCGTTAGTTCACATGGTGACTTACGGAGATGGCATTTTCCTGTCTAGGGATTTGGCTAAGAGTTTATTCCTGTATGAAAGTAGTGATTACTAAAACAAATTTATCATGGAGTGGAATACCTGTATCCTTGCAATTAATTTAATGTTTATCTTAAAGTTGATTTTTAAAACAAGAAAATATTATCTTTCTTTAAATGTCAGTTGACAGCAACAGAAAAATCAACAAAATGGTTTCTTCTGGCTGTATATATTGTTATTTGGGAATATTGTAAAAGTTGAAAGATTTAGAGATGGAAGAAAATGAGACTACGTCATCAAAGTGTTTTGTTTTTTTAATTATAGGTATGTTTGGGATTATTTGGTACATGTTTTGGCTGCTGCAGGCCTACGAGTGCCCAGCAGCTCACCCAACAATATCTGATGAGGAAAAGACTTATATTGAGACCAGTATAGGAGAAGGAGCCAATTTGGTTAGTTTAAGTGTAAGTATAAGTGCACTGATAAGGGTTGCATTCTTTTCTGTGAGTATTCCTCTACGTGATTATGCTATTCTCATAAAAAATAAGATGTCAATATCTCCACTAAAATATCATGGTATTTTTACTCCCTAGAAATTTAATACACCATGGAAAAGATTTTTCACTTCGTTGCCAGTTTATGCAATCATTGTGGCAAATTTTTGCAGAAGCTGGACCTTTTATTTGCTCCTAATAAGTCAGCCTGCTTATTTTGAAGAGGTCTTTGGATTTGCAATAAGTAAGGTAAGCACTCAGAAACTTCAGATGTTCTTGAACTTTAACTCTCTTGATTCTACCAGGAATATCTTTGTATGCTCATAATTCATAACAGTTCTGTGATACTCAATAGCCTGGAGGTCAGACAAGGTATATATTCTGTGCAGAGTGTGCGGCATATTTGATTTCTTCTTAAGGAGGGTCAGAGCTGTATTAAGCTGCTTTCAAAGATTTGGTTTCTACCCAAACTCAAAGTGTGTTTGAAGCTAACTCAAGGATTGCATTTTAGACAACGATAAAAAGATTTTGACATTTTTCTCTATAAACTTCTTAGTGAGTACCAGCAAGATGCTTAAAGCTCATCTTCCCAGCCACCCCAACTCTATAACTGGTTGTAGCAGTAACCACCATTGCTAAGAGCTACTTTCAATGTCTCCGGCCACTGTCATTAGATTGTCCATGTTTCATGGAGAGAGGTTTTCAACGGGGAAACATAAACTATCATGAGAACAGAAGAAAAACTTCCCCCAACAGCACAGAGCAGCAGCAGCGTAGCAGAGGTAGATGTCTGCATGGCTACAGCTACTGTCAGAAGAAACCACAGAAGAACTGGCTGCCATGGGGGAACACACTGTATGCCAGGATTCTCCCTTCCGTGGGCCAGGCCTTGTGCTGGCTACCGGGGCCTCTGAGATGTGTAAAAGCCATCACTGTCCTCAGGGAGCTTCCAATCTATGGAGGAGACAGAGAGGCCTTCACTGTCCCATTTGCTCACTCACTGAATTCCCTGGGCCCCATGCGAAGTGACTCAGTTCAGTGGTGGCCGTAGGGGCATGGAGTGGGAGTGAGCAGGGAGATGCGTCTCTCAGCAAAAGCAGAGGTGCCAAGTGCTTCTTTGCCTTCCAGGTGGGTCTCCTGTCAGCGGTCCCACACATGGTGATGACGATTGTTGTGCCTATCGGAGGACAACTGGCTGATTATTTAAGAAGCCGAAAAATTTTGACCACAACGGCTGTCAGAAAGATCATGAACTGTGGAGGTACGGTGGTCTTCATAGTGAGTTTGCGTGGCTTCTGTAGGACTGCAGATGTATTTTAGAGGTGATGTCCAGTCAGTGAAACAGAAGATAAAAGAAAGTGACTAGCTTGAGTGGCAGATCCTGTGCAAGGTCTTTGAGCTCTTTACCAGCACTCTTAGTCACCATTTGCTACCTCTTCAGTGGACTGGGTCAGCTGTAATGGGTGGGAGGCAGAGATAAGGTGTTCTATGGGCAAGAGGTCAACTGGGTTACTCTGTTGAACAGGAGGAAATGGGCATGCTCCGACTCTAGATTAGATGAGTCTGGCCCATTTAGAAGGGACACAGGAGTAGGCACAATCTGAGAACAGAGTCTGAACAGTAAACCTGGGCATTCCAGCTGTGCCAGGGATGCTTGGGCCTGACTTCGGCTTGAATGTTTGTGTAAGAGATGAAATGTTGTCAAGTGCAGCCCTGCACTCTGGGAGCAGAGATCAAGCTCCAGGGCTCTGCATCCAGGCTGCTGTTCAGGGTGGCTATAGTAGGGGTAATGATGTCCATGTTCAAGTTCTCAGAATCTCTGAATATTTGCTCTCAGGTCCAAGGGGACTTTGCAGATTATTAAATCAACGATTTAATAATTGCTGGGACACAATACCTGACATCCACAACTGAAAGGAGGAATGGTTTATTTTGGCTCACAGTCTGTATAGCGTTCAGTCCATAGTCAGTTGGCTCCAAGGCAGGGTGGCATGGCAGAGGGGCATCAGAGAGGAGAAACAGTCCATGGCAGGGCAGTGAGAAGCAGAGAAAGGGATCACAGGAGGAGCAGGAAAGAGACAGACTCAGGCCACACCTCTAGTGATCCACCTCTTCTGGCCAGACCCCACCTCCTAATAGAGAGTCAGCTCTGAGCCTCATGATCCAGTCACCTCCTCAAAGCCCCACTTAGGAGCACATGAGGTTTTGGGGGGCATCAGATATAAATCATAATAGGAGCTTATTCCACGTTAGCTGGGTGGCCCAATGGAATCACAAGGATTCTTCTAAGAGGAGGCAGGAAGGTAAGTGTCAGACAAGGAGACCAGGGGTCAGAGGGATGCAGCCCCCACCAAGATATGCAAGTGGACTTTAGGAGCTGGAGCAGGCACACACGGATTCTCCTCTAGTGTCTCCAGAGTGAACGCCATTGCTGACAACTTCCTTTAGCTCAGTGGGACCCATGTATGACTTCTGACTTTTGGATCTCTAAGACAATAAGTTTGTGTAGTTTTGAGCCACTAAGTCTATGGTCATTCATTACAGCAGCAAATGGAAACTAGTAAAGCACCTCCAGTCTTACTCCTCTAATATTCAAATTTGGTACTGGCTTATAGGCCTCCACCCCAATCCCTGAACATATTTTTCTGTGTCTGATGCTTTGCTCACTCTTTTCTGTTTACTGTGAGTTCTTCTTGTCTTTACTTCCCACTTGGTCTTCTCTTTATATCCTTCTACATTCAGCTCAAGTGTTTTCCTCTTGTGTTTAATGTCGTATCAATGATTCCTGTGACCACATGACTACATTGGCAGTTCATCATGTGCTACTTCGTTATAACTCTTGCAGCAAAGTGTTTTAGGGAGAGAGAAAAGCAAGTGCAATGGCCCCATGGCAGGGATGAATAGGGTGTATTTGAGAATAAAAGGAAGGAAGGGCAGAATGGTTGGGTGGAGTGGAGAACCATAGGAGGTGGGATCAGAATGCTCAGCTTGGGGTCAGACCACAGACTGGTACGATTTATATCTGGATTTCCCCCCCAAGTTTCATGCACTCAAAGATGAGGGTTTTGAAGGGTGATTAAATCTCAGGGACACTACTGTTCCATGTAATGTTAGGAGTTCTATAATTATATCAGTTATTCAGTTGTGTTCCTGTTGACCAAAATGATCTACTAAACCTGGAACTTGAAAGAAAATCTTGGTCAGAAGAGGCAGTCACTGGGGGCATGACCTGGGAGGGTGCATCTCCCTCCTGTCCCTCCCTTCTCTTTCCGCTTCCTGGCTGCCATGATGGGAGCAGCTCTCCTCCTCCATGTCCTCTGCCCTGTTTTCCTCCTAGGAGCCCTGACCATGGACTATGACTATGAGCTGAAATAAATCCCTTTTCCCTTAGGTTGTAGGTAGTGGGTATTATGTCCCAGCGACAGGGAGAGTGACCAAGATGTAGACATCGGCAGAGCTTGAGGTTTACTTATGGACCACTGGAAAGTGAATGTTTTAAAGCCAGGAAAGGCAATCTGATTTATGTTTTCAAATCTAGAAAATATGTGGGGCGCAAAAATAAAAGAAGGGAGACCAGGCAGAAGACTGTTTCAAGGAAGTCAAGAGAAGATGGTAGCTTGAATTGAAGGCAGTAGCAATGGAGGTGGAGAGAGATGGGTTGGCTTCTAAATTCCCTGAGTCAACTCGCTTCTTTAAAATCCAAATAATGGCATTCACTTCAGATGATAGTTACGAGAGTTGAATGATGCAGTGCATAAATGCACGTAGCATGGTTTCCAGCCTATAGAAGGCTCTCACCAAGGGTTAGTGCCCTTTTCCTGTTTCGTGTTCAAGATACTGAGAAAAACAGAACTTTTCCAAAGGAAGCATTCAACAAATCTCTGTTATTCAGTTGTATTTCTGTTGACCAAAATGCCCTACTAAACCTTCAATTTGAAAGAAAATCCCGGGTTTAATGCAATTTTCACAACCTCTTCTGAACCCAGATGGCTTGAAGGTCTTGAACATGTATTATAGAAATGTCTTTCTCCCATTCGATTCTGCCCCAACACTTCTGCCATTGTTTTTCCATAATTGGAGATAGTGTTGCTTGGTGATGAGAACTCAAAGATTTTTAAGTGCTAACAAAATGCCTGTTGAGAGAAAATCTTTTTTTGTGCAGAAACCAGAATACATATGTGAAATCTCCCAGCACCTCTCCTATCTTTGAAAAATACCTATTTACTTGGGTTTTTTCCACACTGTTTTACATTTTGACATAGTAGGGCCAAAGCATACTACACAGAAAATTGTAAACAACAAAGAAAGACAGACCATGGCAGCCCCACTTTGCTTAAATAGAGACAAGATACTAGACCAGAGGTAACTAGGTTTTTTTTTTTTTGCCGTCTCTGGATAAGCTAGATTTACTTTGATGTAATGAGGCACTTGCCATTATTTTTATCAAATTTCAGTTGTTTTCACATTTCCTAAAAAGAGATGTAGAGGACATTGCTCATCTGTGAAGGATCACACTTATTTTGGAGCTGTCGTACCCCTCTTTTCTTGCCACAGATAAGGAATATGTGCCATTGCAAAAATTTAAAATCAACAAATCACCATAAGCCACGACGTCTCGTTCTAGTTCGTTCTGAGTCAGGGCACACTTCGGAGAAACTCAGGGACATGTGCCAAGTCCTTGCACTCCCACTGCAGCCTGTGTAAAGTGGGACTAAAGTGCAAAGTTCTGTTCAGGCGGAGTCAGTTGTCTGTGTGAGCATCACACTCTTTTAATATGAAATGACAATTTTCTTGGGTCTTTAAACCCTAGTGTTGCTTCTCTTGTCAACCCTGAATAGGTCCATTTTTCAGGATCTCTTGGTTGTCTGTGAAATTCAAATTGTATCCTTCAGCTCCTGAAACATACTGCCCCAACTGTAGCATTTTAACCATCAATAGGAACCACTGAAACTCCTGTGTCCTTTTTCTTCCTTTGGAAATCTATTTGGCTGAGAACATACTGCTTTTTCTTATAGATGAACCAATAAATATCATTTACAAGTTTTATTCTTCACACAATGTCTTCATTCTAATTCCTTGGAGGAATTAACCTTCTGGAAAAACCTTTGTTTAAAGTATGAAGAGGTACAGCCTTATTTAAGATAGGCCATTTGCAGTTTTTGCCTATGTATATTTAAAATGTTGAAACAACATTAAGAATTAATAGCAAGGATGTAAAACCCACTTTTTTGTAGTGATAGGGATTAAACTCAGGTCCCTGTGCATGCAGGCAAGTACTCTAACACAGAGCTACATTCTCAGCCCAAGCCAACGCTTTAAAAAGCACTATATTGCTTCTATACTTTCTTTTGCTCCACTTTAGATGTTCATATAAAATGGTTATTCATGCTTGCTATCCTCTATGATAGTTTTGAAGAAAATGTTCAGAAAGGTAAGTAACTTAACCAAGATCATCTACAATAAGTGTGGTACTTTGTACTTCAACCTATTATTTTAAAAACTGGGGATTGATCGGAGAGCCGGATGCATACTAGGGGGTCACCCTACTCCTGAAGTACATCGCCAGCCATTTATTTTATTTTGAGACAAGATCTCACTAAGTTGCCCAGGCTGGCCTTGTGGTTGAGATCCTCCTGCCTCAGTCTCCTCCATAGCTAGGACTGAAGCTGTGTGCCACCATGTCCAGCTTCAAACTAAATATTTTGATTCCATTTTCTTTCTTTGGCTTTAATTCATTAAGTATTAGTTATTGAATTTTTTTGAGATGGGGTTTCATCATGTTGGCCAGGCTGGCCTTGAACTGACGATCCTCCTGTCTCAGCCTTCTGAGTAGAGTAGTTGGTTGTATAGGCATGTGCCATTGTACCTGCCATGTGTTATTTATTGAGTGCCCACTACATGTTGGAGAGATTCTGTGTCCAAAGTTCAGTTTTGTGGGAGCGACAAAAGCAGATGTGAAAAATTACAAAGGAATGTTGAAAAGGTCTATAAGAAAAGTAAGGAGAGGTCCCCTTCCTTGGTTGAACGTGTAGCAGAGTTGTCCGAAAAGCTTTCTAGTGTTAGCAACAGTTGAGCCTGACTTTAAAGGACAGAAAGATTTCTCCAGAGAAAGGGAAGCTTGGAGGAGAAGAGCATCCCAGGCAAAAGAATAGCCTGTGAGAAAAAGGCACAGACCTGAGACAGCTCGTGTGACTGGGAAAGAGTTGGAGAGCTGTGACCCAACACCGAGGGCCACGTTTGGGATGGGGCAGACACATAGGAGAAGATGGGAGAAGGGGAAGCTATGTAACACTGCGCCCACAATACAGAGCCCTCAGAGGTATTCCGAGCAAATAAGGGGCCAAGTAAGGGGCCCAGAGATTTTTATGTGAAAGGCGAGAAAGAAGTCCAAGAGAATCCTGCAGTTTCTGCACTGGACTTCTAGCCACCATGTGTGGGGCTGTGCCCATGTGCTATGCTCAGTTCCTTCTGTCTCCAACTCCATTTCATCTTCTGGGGTCCTGCCAGCTTGTATTATCTTCTCCCTCTTCCTCCCCCTCCCCCCCCTTCTTCTGCTTCCTCTTTCTTCTTCCTCCTCCTTCCTTCTTTCTTCTTCTTTCTCCTTTTTTTGATGAGGAATCGAAGAGATGAAGGAAGTTGTCCAAGGTCACACAATTAGCGACTCTGAGGTAGAATCTGAAGCCAGGCTTCTTTGATCTACAGCCTGGGTGTTACTCGTAAGTGGATAGAAGAGTAATCCATAAAAGAATGAGGAAGTAGGGCTTGCTTTTTTATTTAGGAGTAAAAAGTAGGGGAACTTGGACTTGATTTGAGTGTGTTGACTTTGAGGTGCCTGTAGGATGGTTGGGTAGAGGTGCCTGCAACTGGCAGTCTCCAGGATGAGTCCCCATCTCAGGGCGCTTTGTGCTCTACACAGGGTATTTATATCATCTTGCTCTCTGCTGTTGGCTGATTTTTTTTTTTTGGATGAGAAATTCTTCTTTGTAATTTTCTTATCTTTTTTTATTGTGCTAGATTCACTTATTCTGAACGAAAGGAACAGAAAGCACTCTTTCCATTTGTTTTTTTTGTGCAAATGGCTCATTTTTAAACAAGAGGCCCAATACCTTAGTGAACTAAGGAAAGGAAAGAATTTCATTTGTACAAGCAGTAAAGCGCTGCTTTTAAATTTTAAATAGTCACTAAAGCTTTCTGGTCGCTTTTGGCAATAAATATTAGTGTTGTCATGGTACTTATATGTGAGAGGTCGTATCTTCTGAGGTCAAAGGGGAATAATTGATGGTACAAAGGAGAGTTTTAGGGTTTAGCTATGGCGAGGGCATGACCCATGGGTAGAGTAATATCACCACATCCCAGGAGCACTGCTGGAACCTCCTGGGACCATGTGGCATAAAAAGTGCGCCAGGAATCGGGAAGACGGTTCACAGAGTACCCAGGTAATACTAGCAGTGTCACGCAGTCGTGAAACGTCTGGGTCATCCTGTAAGCACTGCGTCAGAATGGACGTCCTAAAAACTTAAGTCTGTGGAAGTGTGGATTTGTTCTTATTTAATAAATTTATAACCTCAAGCCAAGCGCCACAAAACTGACATCTCCCCCCGCCCCCCGGCTGTTTCCCTTCGCAGGCTTTGGCATGGAGGCAACTTTGCTCCTGGTGGTTGGCTTTTCCCATACCAAAGGGGTGGCCATCTCCTTTCTGGTGCTGGCTGTAGGATTTAGTGGCTTTGCTATTTCAGGTAAAGCATCCTTTCTGTTTCTGAATCTTGTGTGTGCATCCCTCAACCCTTCCACTTCCCAGAGTTTCATCCAGTGGGAGTGACGGGTGGGGTCATGAGGGTCGGCTTCGGAGCCCTGGGAGCTGGGATTGTCCCTACTTACTCTGCCAAGGGAAGAGACATACGTGATTTCCCTGAGGCCCAAGTGCGAGTCCTGGGTCAACACCAAGTCACCCTACCTACCCAAGGCCTTTGTGACCTTCAGTCCTCACTTTCTATTGGAGAACTGCTAGTGTTAGCTCAGAGAGTCACAGCATCGGGGGCTTCGTAGAGTGGAAAGCTTCTTTAGATTTTGTCTCCTCCGCTGCCTTTATTTCCGAACAACAAAATGCAAGTCCGGAGAAGGGAAGTGACTGAGAATGGGGCACAGCAGGTGGGAGTAGTAACAGTGATGTCATTGTCACATCGACCCTGGGTGGGGGAATCAATGGCTCCCCATTTTCCAGGAGCAGAAACCAGTCTACTGCACGGGAGAGACCAGAGTACAGCTGTAGCACACCTTACGCACCTCAGAAACTCCCTGTGCAGAACAGAATGAGAAAGTAACATTCAGTAGTTTGCTTTTAAACCATTATAATGAGAAATTGTTACAGAAAATTTTAGGTGACCGCATCCCTCTCACGTTATGAATATCAGTGATATTGGCATTTTGCTGATTTTTCACTGTTTTACTGGTATCCACCAAGGCTCAGAAATATTGGGCTCTTTCCTTCAGTCCCAAAGTTCGTGGCAAAAGGTCACAAGCATAGTTCTGCCTGGCCCCAAGTCTGTTCTCTTTCCATTAACCCAGGCTAGTTTAAATATCAGACTGGTGGTGTTCCAGAACCAAAAAAGATGGCACATCTGGTCTAATATACTCTAAAATGGGGGCTTGGTGCATATATCAACATAAATAGAGCTGATGAGTACTTAAATTTGAAAAAAACCCCCGAAGGTCTACTTTCGAACAGCTGAGAACTTGGGTTTTTAAGTATATAGACCTGGCTTTGAGGCCTTTCTCGACTCATCCAGAGGTTCGAGAGCAACTTCATAGAGTGGTTGGAGGGCTGAACTGAGATCTTTATGAGACCCACTAGACACTGTCCTCAGCCCTGGGGTCACTGCGGGGAAGAATTCAAAGATTCCACCCTTCCAATGTTTACATTGCACTGGAAATGAGGTCTTCCAAGTCCTCAGCACAGTGCCAGATGAGGAATAAAATTAATAAGTATTCTCTGTTATTATTGTTCTATTTTCGTGCACCCTAACCCGGCACTTCTCACATTAGAGTGTGCACAAACACCACTGAGATTGTACAGAATGCAAAAGACCTTCATATCCTGTCTCCAGAGATACAGAAGTGTTCCTTGCTTCCTTTCCCTGGACTGCCAATTAAGCCACAATCTGGAGAGAAATTCAACCACGCAGCTGCCTTGCTTTTTCAGAGTACTTACTGGATCCTTGCTGCTTTTTAAACATGATCTCATTTAACTCCCATCACAATCTTAGGAGAGGGGCATTGCTGTGTCCACTCTACTGATGAGGAAATGGAGCCCAAGTGTAACTTGCCCAAGTGTATTGAGCTGCTCAGCTCGGAATAAAGTTCTGCCTGACTCAGCAGTGGCACTGAGAGAGGGGCTGTGGTCATGGGGGTGACAGGTTCTCAGGACCCCCTGTCTGCTAGCCGAGTAAGGAATCGGTCAGGATGGTGCTGGGGAAGACTGGGGCTGACCGTAGTCCAGAGAGGCAGGACAGGTGAGGTTAGGAAGATGCGAAGGATACGATGCTCCATGTAGGAAATATCCAATGGAAAAAGACCCTTGGCCCAGCTGCACGGTTTTCTCATCTACAAAAACTTATCATAACTCAGCTTCTCAGTGAGGCCCTCCCCCCCATACCAGGCTTGTGTAGCCAGAAACCTATGTGGCTTTGCTCAAATTATCCCTAGCTGAAGGCAGATGCCTGGGCTTTGTATCAGAACACAATACTTGAGAATCACATTAATTACTTCTTATCTCTGGGTTCTTTTCTAATAAAGTATTTATCAATTCAAATAAACCATAAGATTAATTATTCTTGCAGCTGTTTTATATTCTGATTGTCTGGCACTTTGATCTCAAAGAGAACAGTATGTTTATGACAAAAAATGTTTTCTCAAAAATTTTCCCTGAATGGAAGTAGGAAAAAAACAGTCAACCAACGTGCTAGGTTAGAAAAAACTTGTTTTAAACCTTACATTCAGGTTTTTTGCATGAATCTCTAATTAATTCTCTAAGCAGTAAGCAAGGGAAGACAAAAACCACAAATAAACAAATTCTACAACCCCTTGCTCTAATTTCAGTAGCTCAAATTGGTAATGAATTTAATAACTATTTATTGAGTGATGACTGTGTCAGATACTTTGCTAGTTCAGGGAAGAGGCTGATAAATTAGATATGTGTTGTCTTTCACCTCTGTGTACCACATAATTAACACACATTATTTAACTTAATTATTTTTGAGACAGGGTTTCACTGTAGATCAGGCTAGCTTTGAACTCACTATGTTGCCCAGGCTGGCCTCAAACTCACGGTGATCCTCCTGCCTCAGCCTCTCAAGTGCTGGGATGACAGGCTTGTGCCACCACACCTAGCTATGGAACTCAATCTTACAACAATATTATAAGAATGTTCATTCTAATTTATAGATGAAGAAACTGCAGTTCAGGACGTTTTAATTCTTAATCCAGGCTTGCGTCTTAATCAAGCCACCAGAGCTGAGTCTGTTTGACTCTGAAGCTCACCCAGGGAAATTCTGGCAGAGTTGGAATCCAGCAGTTTAAGCCTCTTACATACTTGGTCTTCCCCTGATGTCACCTCTCCCAGTCCTCCTTCTTAGCTTCTCTCCTGATAAATAGATTAACAGTAAGATGCCGGTGACTTGTTATTTTACCACTTCTGCAGCATTATCTTTGCCAGAAGACCCCAAACACAGGAGAGGCTTAGTGGAAATTGGGATGGCAGCAATTGCAGCCTCAGGGTGATGTAGTCAGTGTAGCTTAGCAGTTTGCCAAGGGCTCCCGCAGACACACTTCCTCAGGGTCTCACTGTGCAGCACCTTTAGGAGGTCAGCAATGATGTCACACCCAGATGAGAGATGAGGAAACACAGGCTGAAAAGTCCTTGACTACTTAGAGGAAAGAAGACTAGAATCCAAATGTGCAGGCTCCAAATCAAGTAAGTGCATGAAAGTGTTTTGTAAATTACAGAGGACTCTGCCAATATTTGTGCAAATATTTATTATCAAAAAGCATCCTTCCTAATTGTGCCTTCTGGTTCCTAACAGCCTTACCCAGGAGGTCTTTTAGGAGTGAGTCAAGGGCTAGCAATGGGCATTTTATGAAGCAGGTCTGGGTCTGCAGGATTTGATTGCTCTGAATAAATGTGGTCCAGGCATTAGGTTTTTCAGTATTGCCCTAAACGCTATATTTTTGAGTTCCAAATCTACAGGGCACACATGTTGTACTCCTCCCCATTGTGGACCCAGGCAGACATTGCTAGTTGATCACAGATACCGTGTTTTCCTACTTTGCCCGGACACTGCCTGGAAATGCTCAACCCAGTGCTCTTGGTGGAGCATCCATGACAGTAGTCACCTGTAGAAGAAACCAGATAGATTGATGAGACTTGGGGAAAGCCAGAGATTTCCCAAAAGGCATTTGGAATTCTGTTCTTGACTCTGATCTTGAGGTTTTGGTTTCCCTCTAGGTTTTAACGTCAACCACCTGGACATCGCCCCTCGTTATGCCAGCATTCTCATGGGGATCTCCAATGGAGTGGGGACCCTCTCTGGGATGGTCTGTCCCCTCATAGTCGGTGCAATGACGAGGCACAAGGTAAAAGCCTCCTTGGCGGCTACGGGTTATAATATTAGAGGTCAGAAGCACCACACAAATGGAAAATCTCCAGGCCCTACCCTCGCCTGTAAATGTGTGTGTTCTTGACCTTGACTGAGTCATTGAACACCTTTTGCCTCTTTTTCCTCCTCCTCCTCCTCTTCTAAGTCATTGTTGATGGCACCAGGGCTAATTATTGTTTGGTTCCACATTTTCTTAACTGAAAAATAAAGGTTTTGAGGAGGATGAAGGCCATGGAAACTCTTTAAGATGCAAGAAGAAACTGAGGCAATCAACTCAGGATAAACGATTTACCCAAGATTATTTTATACTTCTAAGTGATTAAACTTTATAGCCTGTTTCTATCTATTGCTTAGCATGTTACAGCATAAAAATATTAATGCTGTTATACTTCCTTGTAAAGAAGAAAATAAACAAGACATTCACTACCCTTGCTAAGAACCATCGAGGGCCTGGCTCTCAGTCATTACCAAAGCATTGTACAATTAATCTGGTGGGGTGGTGGGGACAGATACTGCAGATAGGGGACAGATAGGGTGTGCCAGAGTTCAACCACAGCCCGCACACCAGATCCCTGTCGCTGAAAAATTTCAGGTTGCTGCTTTCTGAAAATAGAACTTTTTTTATATCAGGCTTTTTTAAACCTCACATTTTCTTATTTGCATTGCTTATTATAAGTATGATTTCATAAATCCTTTGACCTTCTTGGAGAAGAAAATGTGAGATAATTTTTCTCGCTTTTTGATAAAAAAAAAAAAGGTGGGATTTGTGTGTTTTACAGGCAGAGGATCCATGTTTTCCATCTCTGTTCAAGAGGTGATAAGACTGGTAACAAGTGTATTAAATCTATGATATTATCGTCCCCTAACTTTAAACCACGTTCCCATTATTTTTTATTGCTTTTTACATAGAAAATATGATTATGAACAAGCTTTTGGGTAGTCAAGTTTGAACACTTTACTGGCTTCAATATTGTGATGTATCCAACAGCAAGAAGTAGGAGATCTCTGCTATTTAAAATGCTGGGGCCCTGAAGTTTAATTTAGCCTGCCATGCGAGAGCTATGCAATGGTGCGATACATATTTTTACATTTAAAAAAAAATCAACTGTTACTTTTAAAATTAAAAACGCACATTCATTGTAGTCTTAACTTTTGTTTTGTGAATATTCAAATCAGATATGGGACCTGGATGCTGCTTCTGACTCGCGTCCTTCCAAGAAGCGTAGCATTGCTTTTGAGAGAGAGGACAGGTGCTTTGTCCTAGTGGGGGCCTCAGGACTCACTCTGAACCTCTGTGTTTGTTTGAAGATGTTAACTGACACTTTGTTTCCTTGTTTAGACCCGGGAGGAATGGCAGAACGTGTTCCTCATAGCTGCCCTGGTGCACTACAGCGGGGTGATCTTCTATGGGGTCTTTGCTTCCGGGGAGAAACAGGAGTGGGCTGACCCTGAGAATCTTTCAGAGGAGAAACGTGGAATCATTGACCAAGATGAACTGGCCGAGGAGACGGAACTCAACCACGAGACTTTGGTGAGTCCCAGGAAGAAGATGTCTTATGGAGCCACCACCCAGAACTGTGAAGTCCTGAGGAAGGAGGGGAGAGCACAGAGCCGAGCAGCCTCAGAGGAGGAAGAGCCCATATCCTACCAGAACGAAGAAGGAAGCTTCTCAGACACACGTAGTGTCTTCTCACCTTAGAACCAGAAAGTACCCATACCTACTGCTTTCCCCATAGCCTGGCTTGCCAGGGGACCAGATGTGCGGACACTGGAGGAGGGAGGGGAGGAAAGATTGAACCAGCATCACAGAAAAGAGAAATACTATCTTGCAAGGACATGAGTATGCTGCTTGCCCTGAGTTGATAAGATAGTTGTTCATAATTATTTTATTCTGGATTGGCAGTTGGTTCTTCTCTCAAAGAACTGAACTTGTTCAGAAAAGAATGAGTAGAAGAATAAGGAAGACAATACCATGTTGTTCAAAGAAATAGTGAAGGCAATGGGGATGCTGGGCCAGGGAGAGAGGAAATGATGGCTGCCACCACATCAGCCATGTAGAGGAGGGTTTCCTGTTCCAACAAAGGCCACCACTCACGGAGCCCCACTGTTGTGCCAGGTGCTTTATAAACATCCGTATTTAATCTCCACAACCCCACAGCATACATTTATTATCCTCATTTTACAACTAAGGGATTGACTTGCCTAAGGTCTTTCTGCCAGAGCTGCTTCTGAGATTGGTGAAGCCCCAAATAACTGGAAGTTTTAGGAAAGACAATTTCAGCTCAGTGAAAAGAACACATTTTTTTAAATAATGAAAACTGAAGATGGGATGAGTTACTCATAGGCAATTTTCTGTTTGGGCAGGGGTGGGAGATGGGAAATATTCGAGCTGACTTGGCTGAGGGGATTGATTCACACGTTTATTACATGAGGTTCTGGATCCAAAGACCCCGAGCATTTTCTGTTATTGGAAGAGTCAATGATTCGGTGAATTTACAGGTTTTATTTTTATTTTTATTTTTTAATTTATATATTAATTGGTACATTTTAGGTATACAATACATTTACACTTATCATTGGGTGCTTGTACCTGAACATGATGTATCCTGGTTCTTATTTTTTCCCCATTCCCTGTGCGCCCTTCACCCCTCCACCCTTCCCTATTTACACAGACTTTGATTCCATTTTTTTTCTTTCTCATAAGTTTTCCTTTCCCTTCTTTCCTTTCCCCTTCCCCTCCCACCACCCCCAAACCCTTGGACCTTTTCCTATTTCAAATTATCAATTATTCATTTTTATCATTTTCATCCTTATTTACACTTTCAGTTTCTCACACTAGAGAAACTATTCGGTATTTACACATGTGTGTCCTATTTATTTCACTTAAGAGTATCGCCTCAATATGCATCCATTTAGCTATAAATGTCTCTAGTTTCTCATTCTTTATGGCGGAGTAGTACTCCATTTTATAAAAAACCCCACATCTTCTTTATCCAGTTTCCAGTCGATGGACATTTGGGCTGTTTCCAAGCTTTAGCTATTACACACTGTGCCGCTATGAACATGGGTGCACATATATCACTGTGGTATGATTCTTTTAATTCTTTGGGGAAGATCCCCAGCAGGGAGACAGCTGGGTCAAATGGGACCTCTAGCCCTAGTTCTTTGAGGTATCTCCATACTGATTTCCACAGTGGTTGCACCAGTCTGCACTCCCACCAACAATGGAGCAGGGTTCCTTTCTCCCCACACCCTGCCAGCATTTGTTATTGGTTGATTTCTTGATAGCAGCCATTCTTTGTGGGGTGAGGTGGAATCTCAGTGTTTTCATCTGCATCTCTCAAATGACCAGTGGTGTTGAACATTTTTTCATAAGCTTATTTGCTGTTTTCACTTCTTTGTCTGAGAAATGGCTGTTCATTTTGGATGCCCATTTTTGAAATGGGTCTTTGAATTTGAGGGGTCTGATTTTTTTCAGTTCTTTACATATTCTCAATAGTAGACTTTTATTACAGGTTTTATTTTTAATAGTAAGGATTGTAGACGACATGAGAGATTGAAATAGGTTTAAAAGAAAAAAAAAAGCTAAGCAAGATAGCCAAATTTCTAGGAACCCAATGATCAGAATGGTTGAAAAGAAGAAAACAAGGGATTGGCTATTAAATTTCAACTCTCTCTAATAGCAACATTGTGGCTAAACTATATCCCAAATTACTTATAAACCTTTAAGACATTTCATACTTTCAGAAGTAAAAATTCTATTCAAGAGTTTTCTGTTTAAAAAATATATTTAGCCTTTTCTGCTGGTGATTATGTTAGGAAGTTTGATCAAAATATACAAATTTATGGTTGAAGTATTTAGAATGACTCTATTTGGAATGATGTTCAGAGAAAGAACAACGACACAGAAGTACCCATTCAGGGAAATTCTAGAATCAAATGTCTGAGACAACTGGACCTACAGTTGGTGTTGAAAAATTCACTTTTGGTCACTTTAGGCAATAACATGGATACTTTCTAGATATATTTAAAAAGATAATGTTGGCATGTAAAAGTTTATTTGAAAATAAAATTATTTTCTTGTTCAATTATTTTGAAGACTTTATTTCTATTTTCAGAAGAAAAATTTACTATCATGGAAAATTATAGATATACTTGTAGTTTATTATAGTACAGTGTTATACAACCAGTTGTTTTTTCTGTAGCGGGGATTGAACTCAGGACCTTCTGCTTGCAAGGCAGGTGGCGGCACCACTGAGCTAAATCCCTGGCCCAGTACAGTGTTTTTTTTCTAGTTTTCCCCATATTTCTAGTCCCTAGTTGTACCAATGGAGTTGTAACATATTTTATAAAAAGAATAATCCTGGATTAAAAAAGAATTGTCTGACTTTCCATTAAATGATATTCTTTATATTATTGATACACCATTTATGTTATCAGACATCTTTAAATCTCTTTAATAAATGAATTAAACGTAAGTCTTTTAGAACAGTTCCTGGCATATAGAAGTGCTTAAGAAATGTATATCATCATCATTATCATCTTTTAGCCTTTTTGGGGAAATTTTTAGTTGTAAACAAAGCATGCTATGTCATTTTCATCCATTGGCCACAGAATTTCCTGTGAAAATGTGCTGTTTTCTAAGTTTAAAGAAGTCAGAAATTTATAGTAACCAGTTTGTGTGTGTGTTAATAAAGTAAAGCAACAATATACACAAAAAACCTCACGAGGATCCTTAAGATAATGTTTTTAGATTGTGAAACAAAGTTGTATTTATCGTTATCATTTGAAATTGGTGTCATATGCAAATATTTCCCGTTTTGCCCATAACTTACCCTTATAGTATTTTTTATACCTGAACATGATGAGAAAATAGTTATTGAAAGAATTATGGACCATTTGTTATCTTGGCCTTGGAGCTTACTGTTTCTGTTTCACACTGCCTCCTCCCAAGCCCAGCAAACCTGCTCTTCCTTCTCTGGTCTCATTTCAGTCATTCACATCCTTTTTTTGCCCAAACTAAAACTCTTAGACTCATTTTTGACTTGAGACTTCCTTCTCCCTCTTCTCTTGACAAGTTCATTGAACTTTCGGTCTGTAGATCTATGTCTCATACAGTGTTGGAAAATTCTGTCTTATTTCTTTTTTAAAAAAATTAAAATATGTTTAAAAAAAGTTCTGTAGGTGGCACACACCTGTACTCCCAGCACTCTGGGAGGCTGAGGCAGAAGGATTGCAAGTTTGAGGTTAGGCTGGGAAATAGAGCAACTTAGTGAGACCATGTCTCAAAAGTAAAAATAAAAAAGGGGCTCAGGATGTAGCTCAACGTAGTTCAAATGCTCTAGGTTCAATCCCGAGTTAAAAAAAATAGTTTGATAAATGATATGCCAAGATGCTATTTCATTAAAGAGATTGTATTTCTAGTTGCAAACAAAAAAGATTATGAATGATTTTGACAATATTAATTCTGCCAATCCACGAATGTGGGAGTCTTTCTATCTTTTAGCATCTTCTTCAATTTCTTTTTCAGTGTTCTGAAATTTTCACTGTAGAGGTCTTTTACCTCCAGGGCTAGACTGATCCCTAGGTGTTTTATTTTATTTGAAGCTACTGTGAATGGGATTGTTTTCCTGATTTCTTTCTCTGCTAGTCTGTTACTGGGGTATAGTAAAGCTATTGATTTCTAAATGTTGATTTTATAGTTTGATACATTGCTGAATTCACTCATCAGCTCTAAAAGTCTTTTGGTGGAGTTTTTAGCATCTTCTAAATAGAGGATCATATCATCTGCAAACAAGAATCATTTGACTTCTTCCCATTTGTATCCCTTTTATTTTTTCTCTTGCCTAAATGGTCTAGCTACAATTCCAAAACTATACTGAATAAGAGTGGTGAGGGTAGACATCCTTGCCTTGTTCTTGAGCCTTTATTTCTTAAAATATTGCTTTTGCTTCATTCTCTCTCTCTTTCAAGGAATCTCTGACCACCTGTTCTGCATTTTCCAGCCTTTTAGCTTCTTTATATGTCATTCTGATTTTTTCAGATCTTTATTTCTCCCTTCAGTAAGGTCTAATCTTATAAAAATCCACACATTATATTCTTATTTATTAATTTTTGTAGTGGACCCAGCTACATCCCCAGCCCTTTTTATTTTGAGACAGAGTCTCATGAAGTGAGTAAGTTTCCCAAGATGTATTTGAACTTGCAATTCTCCTGCCTCAGCTTCCCAGAGAGCTGGGGTTATAGGTGTGCACCAGTATGCCAGTTATTGGCTGTCTTAATTCCAGCTGTATTTTCAGTTCTAGAATTTTTATTGGTTCACTTTTCATTTCTGCTCTCTCTTCATTAAAATATACCCAGTTCTCTGCTGAAATGTCAACCTGCATTGCATGTCCAACAAAGTAGAAAGACAATGATGTTCAAGTCTGATCAGTGCTATTGTATGGAGACCATGTAATTCTGTTTCTATTTTTTGTTGATTTTTCTGGTTCTTCTTCATATTATCTTATCTGGGCCTGTACCAGGTTTTCTTTGATTGTATCAAATTTGTATTTGAAAAGTTGTTTGAAAAAATAATTTAAGGCTTAAAATAATTTCTTTTTTTCCAAGTAGGTTGTTTTTTTCCTCCCTGGAGCCCGAAGGTGTCTTACTCACTTCTTCATTGAGGGGACACAATATCCAACCCCTGAACTTAGCAGAGAAAGGGTTTATTTTGGCTGACATTTCAGAAGCGTCAGTCCTTACATGGTCAGCAGCATGGCAGAAGGACCCTGCAGAGGAAGGCCGCTCACATCTTGGTGGCCGAGAAGCAGAGAGAGAGGGAGGAGCCAGGAGAGAGAGACAGTGGTGCCTCGGTTCACAGACTTAATTCTCTCCAGGATTCTGGTCATACACTGAATTGAATGAGAACCAAATCAAATTTCCCCATAAGGTCAACATTGAACCTAACCATTGAATTTGATTCGGATCTCGTTCCGTTTGATTTGTGGCCAGAACTGTGGAGAGAATTAGGCTCGTGAGCAGAGCCACCACCGTATCCCCTTCCGGTCATGTCCCAGGGCCCCGCCTCTTCCGGCCAGGTCTTACCTCCTAACTTCACAGTTAGCTCCGGAACCTCCATGATTCATCATCTCCAAAACCCGCCAGTGAGAGTCTGGCTTGGGGAGACATCCAGATACGGACGAGCGCAGAGGACGTTAGTGAACTAGGATCACTTTACTGCTGCTGCAAAGCCGAGATTTGACGCTGTGCCACAGACCATGCGAAGGGTCTTGTACTTCCAGCCCACTGTCACTCCTGAAGGACAGGGCTTCAGGACCCAACTCACACTGCTGTGCTTTTACGAGTGTCAAGTGCTCACTTTTGTGACTTTTGCCCCATTCCCATACCAGGCCGTCAGGCGCACGGCTCTGCCATCACCATCACGCTTTGCTGCTGTCAGAAGTAAGGCCTGATCCCAGGAGAAAGGTGGGCTCCAATGTTGGGCTCACGAGCGTGGCTTTTCATCTTCTCTCAGCTGGTCAGATGGTAGCCTGGTAACTAACTGGTCATACCATGCTGTCTTCCAGTGCTTTTAAACGGGGATTTAAAAAATGT